GAGGGGAACTATGGATAAAAAAGAAATGAGTGGAATTAATAAGTTTTGCAAGTTGTCTAATTTATTAAGGGTAAAGTCCGTAATTGTACTTTGTTAATAATAAAAAGTACAGAATTATATTGAAAATACTCCCAACCGCAATGTAAAAGTTGCACAATCATAAGCTCACAAGTTGCCCACTGTTATGGAGTTCTACATGGAGATTAACCTCTTTTATTTGCATTACTAAATTCCTTGAAGGTAGATGACACAGACACTAGGGAGTACTAGTTTTTCCTACCACTTAGAAGCTATCATGTCTTCAAAAGTCACCGATTTTCTTTTATTTATTTCCTGTATTTTAGCAAATAACTAAGTAAAAAAAATGCTGTGTATCTTTATTTGGTGCCAAAACACTCTTAGACACCTATATAAGAAAATAAATTAGAACTATTTAACAACTTTCTAAAATTGGTTAGCTCTCATCAAGGTGAGTGGTTTTTCACCCTTTCTAATGGATATCAATCCAAGCAGTCTATGATGTTGCAAGTATGAATTTTCTTGCAAGTTGATGACATTAACAGTTTCTAAAATTGATGACATTAAAGTAGTAAATTTTAGAAGCTGAATTTGTTTGGCAAAATTTGTTTGGCCAAAATTTCAGAAACTCATCCCAAGTTTTTGGCATTTCACACAAAACTTAGTTTATCTGAATTTTCAGTTCTATAGGATCCATACGGAGTTGTGTTCTAAGAGATATTTATATTGTCTCTTATTTGGCTATGAATATCAGAGAGCCCTTGTGTGCCAGGTTCCTGATTACCATAAACTTGTAGTCCTACATGGTTTGTTGTGAACCTTCTTGCTGTTTGTGAGTGAAGTTGATCAATTACTCAATTTCAAATATGGAAAAATTCATAATTAGTTCATTTATAAATCATTGTAAGTGGGAAGCCAAGACCACATGTTCAAAAATGAGTGGCGGGAATGTAAACATCGAGATGGATAAGTGGGAAAACTAGAAAATATAAGGTCAGAAATGAGTTTTTCTTGATGAATCTAGGAGTAGTTTCAATAGGTAATAAAATGAGGGAAAGTAGAATAAAAAGGTTTGTTATGTGCAAAGAAGACCATCTACAAAATCAGTAAGAAGTGGTTTGTTACAAGTTCTAGGGCTAGAAGTGCTAGGGATAAGGACATGGGTTGAAGTATAGAGAAATCATTTAAGGGCATACAATGACAATTAATAATTGTCACTATACACAATTCATTCCGGTATGACATCTCTAGGAGCACCAACACATGGACCAATGAAAAACTTTCATCAAGTTTTGACATATTAAATAGGCCATGGGTGTGATTTCTTCTAGAGGATAGTCTATAGGTTTCTAATGTTGTTGCCCAACCTTAAACTAGGAGTTGAACAAGACAACAGTTCTCTTATCCAAGGTTGAAGTTACAAAACTGGGAATTAAAGGAGATACTAGCTCTCTCATCCAATCTTCAAGGCTGCCACCCAACTTCGGGTGTGCTAGACAAAAGGATTTGAAAGTGGAAAATCGATGTTTCTCCTCTCTGCTTTTTTAGAGAACAATCTTAAAGGCTTAATGAATACAATTGAAGCCAAAAGGAGTTAGTTATAATGAACACCACCTGAACTCCATCTCTCTCCAACACCATAAACACCAAAGGTCTTTAACAACAAGATCAAGAAAGTTGAGCCAAACATATTTGATACTAGAACTTTTGTTGAATCCAAATAACAAATATCCAAAATTAACTTGATGAGCTACTAGTTACAAGGTCTTAATTTTTTAAGATGTTCAACAACCGTTGTTTATTAGGGTTTTGATAAGAATGTCATTCTCATGCTTCTCAATTAATGTGGAATACAATAATTCAAAGATTTTGTAATAGTTCTCTTAACAAATTAATATCAAGTTCAATGAACATGCAATAAACTTAATTGTTAATACATCTCAATAAGAAAATGTTAATTAACATGAAATAAGCTTTTTGGATTGGAGTAGTGACCCAACCTACATCATCACAACTTCAATACATATCAATAAGAGCATCCACAGCTAAAAACATATTCAATATATTCATTTAATATTAAAGCATGTAGTAAACTTAACTATCAAATTGCAAATTTATTCGAGTTGTTCACTTGATTAACTGGTCAAGGTTAATCGTTTTTCTATTGTTAAAATTTGAAATCATAAAAAACTTGTAGATATGTATTATAATACCCTGATGTCCAGTAACTATAGATGAAATTTCATTGAAAGTCTCTGATTTAAAGCTGCATTTCATTTGTGGTAAGATTTTGGTGGGATGGGAAAGGATGGTATGGTATGGAAAAGGGAAAATGGGTGGAAAATTTCATGTTTCATTGCTTGGTTGCAAAATGGAAAATAGTGGGAAAATCAACCCTAATTGCAATTTTTGATTAATTTATTAGTAATATTTTTATTATTTTATATTATATTATTATTAATTATTAATTACTAATGTTTTAATGAAATAATTTTATTAGTTAGTATTCATAATTATCTAATTAGTTATTCATTAAGAATTAATATTTTAAAATTTATTTTATTAATATTTACTATGAATTAATTAATAATATTATGTTTTAGTATTAATTATATTTAATTATTTATTTTTTTTGTATTTAATTATTTTTGTTGAATGACTAATTAGGTTAATAATAAATCCTTATTTATTTATTCATTAATTGCTTAGTTAATTCATTAGTAACTATTTTTTGTTAGTTATTAACTTGTTCATATTAACATTTTTATTGTTCTGTATTAAATTCTTAATTAGATATTAATTATTTAAAATCCATAATTAGTTAGTTTATTAGTTTAGTTAAATAACGTTTTACATTTTTTTAGTTTAAAAATTTTTATTAATATTATAATTTATAAATACCCATGACTTAATTAATAACTTGAATATTTGAATATTATTTATTCATAAATTATTAAATTAGTTATCATTGATAAATTATTTAGTGTAATATATTTTAATTAAATTATTAATTATAAAATAATTGTTTAATTATTAAATTTTTATTGATTATTTTTCATTAATATTTTATTTTATGATACTCATTAATGTTTTATTAAATTATTTTTTTAATATGTTATCAAATAATTAATAATTTATGGGTTATGAATCTAGTATTAATTAATTAATAATTTAGTTATAATTAATTATTAAACTAAGGTTGATTTTACCACTATTTTCCCATTTGCAACAAAAAAATGGAACATGAAAAAATCCACCTATTTTCCCTTTCACATCCCATGCCATCGTTTCTCATCCCACTAAAATCTTCCTACAAATGAAATGTTGCTTTAAATCAGAGATTTCCAATGAAATTTCATCTATAGTTAATGGGCCATGTATTGCACTACATACCTATAAGTCTTTTATGATTTCTAATTTTAATAATAGAAAAATGGTTAATCTTGACTAGTTAATCAAGTGAACAATTCGAATAAATTTCAGTTTGATAGTTAAGTTTATTACATGTTTTAATATTAAATCGTTGAATATATTGAAAATGTTTTAGTTGTGGATGCTCTTATTGATATGTATTGAAATTGTGTTGATGTAGGTTGGGTCACTACTCCAATCCAAAAAGTTTATTTCATGTTAATTAATATGTTTTTATTGAGATGTATTAACGGTTAAGTTTATTTTATGTTCATTGAACTTGATATTAAATTGTTAAGAGAGCCGTTACAAAATCTTCTAATTATTGTATTCTACATTAATTGAGAAGCATGAAAATGACATGCTTATCAAAGTCCTAATAAGCAAAGGTTGTTGAACATCTTAAAAAAATAAGATTTTGTAGATATTATCTCATCAAGTCAATTTTGGATATTTGTTGTTTGGATTCAGCAAAGTTTCTAGTATCAAATATGTTTGGCTCAACTTTTTTGATCTTGTTGTTAGAGATCTTTGGTGTTTATGGTGTTGGAGAGAGATGGAGTTCAGGTGGTGTTCATTATAACCAACTCTTTTTGGCTTCAATTGTATTCATTAAGCCTTTAAGACTTCTCTAAAAAAGTAGAGAAGAGAAACATCGATTTTCCACTTTCAAATCCTTTTGTCTAGCACACCCGAGGTTGGGCGGCAGCCTTGGAGATTGGATGAGAGAGTTACTATTTCCTTTAATTCCCAGTTTTGTAACTTTAACCTTGGATAAAAGGCTGCTGTCTTATTCAATTCCTAGTTTGAGGTTGGGCAGCAGCCTTAGAAACCTATTGACTATCCTGTAGAAGAATCTACACCCATGGGCTGTTGAATTTGTCGAAACATGATGAAAACTTTTCATTGGTCCAATTGTGTTGGTGCTTTTAGATATGTCATATCGGACTGAGTTGTATATGGAGACAATTACTAATTGTCATTATATATAGTGAGCATTAAATGACCCCTTGGACATGGTTGCAAAGGCTTAAGGGACCCTTGGACATGAACATGTGACTTATCTCCCTTTTTTATATGTATTTGATGACAATGTAGGACATGTGTTTTAAGAGTCTTGTGGCTTATTCTGGTCCTAGTTGGTCTTACAAATCAGGACGCTTTTCCCTTCCTATTGTGGCCTAGATTGTTTTAGTTGCACGAATGAAAAAAATACTGGTTGAATGTAACTCTTGGGTGCTCTAAAATTGTGTGAAGGGAATCAAAGAGGGAATGTGGAATTTGTCTCCTGATGTAATAACTGCAAGTTATTTGTCTCTGTTGTTTTAGTGTTTCAGTGCAAGTTATCATCATTTGATGCACACCTTGTATTATTATTTAACCCTGGAAGACGATATATATCTTACAATATGGTATGATACATATTTGATGCTTTCAACCTTGATTCGAGAGTTGACGTTGGACATGTTTTTTCATGGGCCACACCTTATCATTGGGTGAAACTTGCTTACCAATATTTCTCTTACTAGAATACATATCTTTTGGTGTTTTCATTCTATATTCACTTGCAGGTTTAATTTCTCCTGCTATATCCATGAAGCAGAGGCTTAGTGTCCTTGAACTCAACCTGACAGGATTGATGAGAACATGGATGACACATTGCCAAATGTGGGAGGGGCACAAGGAGCGCTGCTCAAGTACTTCAACAGTATCTCATCCAACTGGTGGCTGATGATTAAGATAATCTTTGTATTGATTGTTGTACATAATATCATTTATTGCCACTACACCGTCAAGTGATCAAGTCTCATCCAACATTTCAAAAATTATATTTGCAGTTTTGCACTGCCTTGTTGTACATAACATCATAAACTATGACTGTATATATACAATGAAGTCTACCATTATTCTTCCCTTATTTTTTCTCGGGTATGTTGCTGCTAGGATGACATGTCTTCATAGCTTCCTTCAGTTCTTTGCCATTTGCATTTCATCAATGTGTTTGTGTGTTTGAAAGTTGAAACAGAGAACATAATTAGTATAAAATCATTGAGTGGTCGTATTATTCTCAGTTGACGTCTGTGAATGAACAAAAGTACTAACTACTAACTATAAAGATTATGCATTTGGTTTGGCGAGTTTAAGTGGTATCAATTATCGATTTGAGTGTGAGACTGATGAACTCCAGCAAATTGTCAAAATATTGGTGGACGTTGATATTGCATTTTCTTGACACTCCATTTGTTCTCACTGTAGTTTCATTTGAGTGCAATCTGGTCTATTTCTGTCTTAGTCTTTACTTTGCTTCATCTTTTATTTTACTTAATTCATACTGTAAACAATCTAACCCATGTTGAAACTCAAAACTAAAATAAATCAGAATTTGCACTCAATAGTCAATTTGTTTACAAACATGGAAATGGGATCGCACTGCAAAATAATAAGTAACAAGAGAGGACTGGTGTCTTAAGATTCCTCTTAAGAGGAGTGTTGAAGAGAAACAAACAGCAGGCCCACACATGAATATAATTCTCAAAAGATTTGGCACATGACCCGACAAGGATTTTGGTTTTGTATTAGGTTCGAGTATGAAAAGAACTGATCGGAACATTACCAACTATGATATTTACCACTATTAATTACTCAATTTTCATGTTAAAAGAGTTGATATTTAACCAGCCACTGTCTAGAGAATACAGGCTTCGGTTCCACCAAATGGGCTTAAATTATTCCTAAGTTTTAGGAAATCGACTTGTACACCCGACTGTTTGCCAAATCCTTTAAAATGCATTTACATTCTAACAATTGAGTAATTGTATCAAAACTGTCACATTCCATCTGCACGTGATTGTTGTAACTTCTTTAAACCCAATTTTCTCCTTAAAACCGTTCACATGTGATTGCACGTGACATTGATTAGGGTTTTCTTTTGGATTGATTCGATACCACATAAATCATACTAAATCTGAGCCAAATTCATGTATTGTTCTACTGAGGCTCCACTATTTCTAATCTATATCTATATAACAAAGAGGTAAGCCGAGAGGTGAAGTTTGCATCACCCAGAAAGAAACAAATGGTCCATTTCGTGCCACATAATTCCTTTATCATTAAAGTCCCAAACATCTTCTTAACATTTATCGCCCCAATCCCTAGTTTTTAGTGTCTTTTAACACCCTTTGTTAGACTAGGTTTTGCTTACTTTTTGCACAAGTCTAGCATTAAAAGGTCAAACATGAAGTTTACAAAGAATCAAATCCAAAAGTTCGATTTGAAAGTGAATTGCAAATTCAAAGATTCATATTCAATCTTCTTATTAGACTAATCAAACTTTTCTATCAAGGTTTCCATACTTATAGGGATTAACCCATGCTCTAATCTTGGTGGTTTTTCCCAGGTGCAACCAAGAGACAACATAGAAAACAATGTGCATTTTGAAAGGTTTGATTAGAAAAAACTGTTAAAAGCTAGCTAAAATTATCTCTAGAAAATTTAACAGTTCAAGGCATCCAATCTATATCTTTTCCAAGCTTCAGACACTCCATGGTCTAAGAATAAAAAACAACACTTAAAACCATTTTTTTTTTTTTACATTTAACCATCCTTGAATTCTTTCCTCGCGCATCCATAGGAATTTGATAATCATCAAATATCTAGCAAGTTATTAACTACTATAAATGCATGTTAGAAAACATTTATATTAGTTTTTTGTTCCTTAGCCATCTAACTTCACATGTCTATCTAGGTGATACATTTCTTTTCCAAGTTTAAAACTATTAAGAAATTTGAATCCATAAAGAATGAATGGTGTATTTAGCTAAACTGTTAATACTGTGAGAGTAGTTGGTAAGTAATGATTTATAACAAAGGATTTATAGAGAATTGAACTGTCAAAGTGGGTTTTGAAATTGGAAAAAATTATTGGTTGTTCTATTTGTTTTTTGTTTTTTGTTTTTTTTTTTTTTTGAGTGTGTGTTGTCTGTTTAAAAATGTTGGTTGGGGTGGGCGCTTGTGGATCGTGGATTGATGAGCTATAGTCAGCCATATGTTTCTAGTGCAGAGATGACCTCGAGGATACCATCTCTAATTTCAAGATGTGGATTATTTGTTACGGAGAATGTTTATTGAACCTCCTATGGCTGTTGTTGTTGGCTTTGGTGATTGGCAATGCAATTTGATATATATGTTTAGGAGGATGCCATTGTATCGTGGAATGGTGCATGCTTATATCATAGTTCTATATCTAGTTTTTGAAGTTAAATATCATTTCTCAAGACTTATTTCTTGTCAAATGTAATTAAATATCTTAAATGTACAGTTCTTTTGTAGTATAATCTGTTAAAACATACCATTTTGTATGTTTTAAAAGTTTTAATTATAGAGTACATCTAGAAAGAGTCCAGATTTAGTGCTTTTGAACTAGAAGGGGTTTTCCTTTGAGCCCAGATTTAGTGCTTTCCGAACTGAAGCCGCAGCAGTTCATGTAGGATTTCAGAAAAGGAAAATCCTTTCTCATACATAATGCAAGCATTTACTTACAAGCTTTTCTTTCTTTGTTGCTTATATATATATATATATATATATATATTTTTTGTTTCTGCATACCATCACAATTTGTCCTTATCTTTGGTTCTGGTTTTCATAGCAAAGGTTTCAATACAATCATTTTGAAAAGGAGATATGTGGGAATGGGGAGAGTGCTTCAACAAGATGGGAGCTACCACAAAGTTTCTTCTCTGCTTTTCTATTCCATGTCACAAATCTTGTTGGTCTCCTCTAGTTTCTCCTCTGCATTGCTTGTACTCTCTTGTCCTTAACGTGTATATCTCTTCTAGGTGACAACCTCTCCTGATTTCTCCTCTATTGTCTCCTTACCCTAGGAAGCATGGATTTGGTTTGAGCTACAATGGACTTCTGATTAGAAATCTAGACAATCATTGAAATAGATGATGGTGGTGGTGGTTTGGAGAATATGGAAGGAAATTGGGAAATTTAAAGGTTCTAAGTCGAGTTAGAACTGGTTATCTGACTTTTTTTTATGCTTTCTGTTTTTAACAGCAAAAAGTAAAATAGGAAAGAGAAAAAAGAAGAAAGAAGCATAGAATAAGAGACGGTTGCTGGTTAATCACTTTTTACATGGTAACATTTGAACTGGACTTGAAGAAAAGTCACTTATTCAAATGCACTAGATCCGGAGTGATGTACAAGTTATCATGCAATATATGGTGTTGCATGGTCGCTTATACAAGATTCAGACATAGCATATACAAATATAAGAGCAGGATGGACAAGATAGAGGGGTGCCTTGGAGTCTTATATGATAAAGAGTATACCACTTCAATTAAAAAGGAAAGTTTTGTAATATGAGCAATGTTGTATGAAGCAACGTTGGGAAGCCAAGACAACATGTTCAAAAATAAGTGGTGGTAATGTAAACATTGAGATGGATAACTGGGAAAACTAGAAAGAATAAGGTTAAAAATGAGCTTTTCCCATCCCATACCTTTCCATCCTTTCTCATCCCACCAAAATCTTCCCATAAACGAAATGTATCCTTAAATCAGAGACTTCCAATGAAATTTCATCTATAATTGGTGGGTCATTAGAGTATTGCAATACATACCTATGGGTTATAAGACTTTTATGATTTCAAATTTTAATAATAGAAAAATGGTTAATCAAAAAAAATTGATAAATCAATTCCACGCACCAAGTATCCACTCCCTTTTTCACTTTTATACCTACCGGTACCATTATTGAACGGTTTCAATTCAACCATTTCTCTCCATTTTCCTTCCTCGCTCTAAGCCTTTCAACAACAGTACGAAAGCGTGGATGTTGTTGGTTTGGGTTTGAATGTTTTTTTTTTTTTTAGAAGTGTTCACAAATTTATAAGAGTCTCCAGACCACTTTCCATGCTTGATTTTCTTGCCTCCAAACTGACCAACCTAAACATTAAACGAAAATTTTCATTTTATTTTCTCTCTAAAGTCAAAAGTGGTATTAAAACAGTTTGCATTCACTGGTCAGGTGAATTCATATCTTCCATGAGGCCAGATGGTTTTGGTCAAAACTGGCCTGATGTATTTCTCTCAACAGCCGTTGCTCATGAGTGATGTGGGAAGGATTGGGCTTATGGCCCGTTTGAGAGGGCTGAAATAATGATTCAGTTAAGCTGGTTAAGTTTCTCTGAAATACTCTGGATTTCGGAAAGTTACTCAAAAGGCAATGATCCAAATATTAATATGATACACCCATATTATATCTGTATCAGTGGCCATGAAATATGCATAAATACACTGATACAAATAGGGTTGGTGGCTTTGAAAGCTTTGGAATAAAAGACATTCCTTTCTCATTCATTTAAAATTAAAAAAAATACAACAATTTTGATGATATCAAGTATATTGATATAACAAATATCGAGTATATCGATACTTTGATCCTTGCAAAGAGACTAAAGCATACAACACTAAAAATAATTGAGGATTCTGTATACAGCGGTGGTTGGAACTAATGTTGTTTCTTAAGAGGTGTTTTTCGAGAAAACAGTACTGTCTTGGCATGTCATTTTCATAGAAAATGTTTTTTTTTCTTCTATTTGGTACCATTATTGTTGTTGCTGCCTATGCGTTTTCCAATGCCATGCTAGCATGTTGTTACTTGTAACAGTAAAAAAAAAAAAAAACACTAAATAGGATGTTTTCTCATACCACACCTTACCCGATTTTCAAGGTACGATCTGAGAAAATGTTTTTCAGAAAAATATATAACCAAACATCAAGCGTTGTCGGAAAAAACAAATTTCAGGCATGAAACTGATGTGGTGCCATTTTTTTAAGAAAGGGCATCGTTCCAAACACTAGTTAAATTGTTCATTAAACATAGCTTATATGCTGTTCATTTAGGATCCACCTC